AAGCTACTAGGTGGAGGCCATCGCTATTAGGTTGGAGGCCATCGCTCCTAGTAACAAGCAGCTACCAGTAGCAAGGAAGTACATTCTGAGTGCCACACTCTCTGAAGTGCCATGAAGTGCAATGCGAACTCTTGCAGGAGCTGAGGGCATTTCTCAGCTGCACACATCGCAGGATCGGTGAAGGTTCCCTTCCCTGGCGTTTCAGCCTCAGGAATTAACCGCCTGCCTAGCTGAACCTAGCTGCACATCTAAAATTCAAAGGCTTGGCTCAGCGTGGTCCACAGCTCTTGCTGATCATCGCAGAGTTTTTGCTGGCGCCAAGAGTTGTCCTGTACGCTGGCTGCGAGGAGTGAATGTTTGAATGGCGATTGTCATGGGTGTGATCTTTGCTTTCATGTTTTCGATCAGAGGATGGCCGTATCAAAGTGCTTGAACTCATGGAGCAGGAAGGTTCACGCATCAAGGAGGCGCTCTTTATATAAATCCAGATGCTTTTCACCATTCTTACTACTAGGAGCAAGAAGCTACTAGGGGCTCCTGGCATCCCTACTAGGAGCAAGGACGCTACTAGGGGCTCCTGGCCTTACTACTAGGAGCATTCTTACTACTAGGAGTAAGAACGCCGACCTCAGACCTCACCCCTTTTTGCAGGTGCAATTGGTGGCGACTCCAAATGCTACATCGCAATCCAGAGCACTACTGAGCTGTTTCCATTCCTTCCCAGATTTCGATGTCTCAATGTTTGTGACTTTGCTTCCACCCTGCAGCATAATGAGGATTTTGGACCGTTGGCTGTCCACAACGAGTTGCTGCCTTGGCCGATGATGGAGTCTCTGGTGTTCGATCCAATGATTCATAGAGTGTGGACGTTGGACTGGCTTTTCGAGAAAAAACACGAGCTTTGCCTATATACTATATAGACCCAACAAGAATTCCGATGTTTTTCCAGTTTCTCAAGATCCTTTGCTTTGCTTTCTTCGTTGCTTCACATCCTAAAATTGAGGTCAGTGGCCTGGCAGTGGGTGAACGGCTGAGCTTGAAGGTTTGGAAGTTGAGTATATAAGTAGTCCAACACGATGGCCTACTCTCAGGCGATGGCTGGCTCTTGGCGGCGATGTTCTCTGGAACTCTCCGAATCTTTTTGCTTCCATCGCATGACGAACAGGTACCATGAACTTGGCACATTTGGTTTCTTTAGACACATTCACTACATTTCATTGACTTGGCAACAGCAATAACAGGATGCAACAGTGCTTTGTTTGGGCTTGATTTTGTCAGTTGCTGTGAGCAGGTCAGCACCCACCTGAAGGTGCTACTTCCTCCTCAATCACCGGTCATCGTGTGATGCCAAGCTTGCTTTGGATGTAAGGTGCAAGCTTCATGGCTTTGCCGATACAAGACTGGTTGAACATGTTTGAACTGTATTGAACTGCGTTCCTGAATTGGCAGCTGAGGTCAGATGCACCGGGCTCGTTGCCAGCCGAAGAGCTTTGTATGTTGTAAACCTGCGTTTGGATCCAAGCAAATCATTATGCCTTGATTGGAGTGTTTGGGGTACGTTGCAGGCAGGAAACAGGTAGGGATCAGCCCCTTCACGTTAGCCTCCCAGACTTCATGGTTCACTCTCTGAGGATCTCTGTGTAAAATTAAGGCCACGGCGACATCCTTCAAGAAGTCCCACTGCTTTTTGCAGCGAGGTGCGACTTCACCGAAGTCACGATTTATCTCCACTCCCACTAACCAAAATCATGATGAAACGTTTAAACGCAAATTTGCACCTATAGTTGGGTGCAACAGCTACGTCAAAGACTTGGACTTGGCAGGCCTTGCATAATCGCAGAAGGTCAATCCGCCTAAGCCTCAGATGTCTAGCTTCGATGTCATTTGAATGGAGTAACTCTTTGTATGGACAGACACCTGAAATCATTTGATGATTGATTACAGCACATACAAAGCTTCACTCACAAAATTCACTCTCGCTTCAACCTAGGTGTTCGTTCAGTGTGACGAAGCGATTCGGGTCTGCCTTGGCACGCTTTGTTTGGGATGGGCTCAAACCAAACCGACGCATAGCAAGGCCAAAAGGCTAAACAGACTTGCCGTAGGCCCTTGTCCGAATCGTGCATATTGACCAATTCCTGGGATGTAGCAGGTTGAGCAGGTTGTGCCGAAGCCATTTAGTGGTCGTGAGCAACCAAGCTGCTTTCGAAATGGCGCCCCTGCACCACGTAAGAATGCAAGATGATCTTCGCCAGTTGGGATTTGCCAGATTGTCACCAGGGTTGCCAGCAAGACATCTCCTAACCACAAGAGTAAGAGTCTTAGCTGCCTTTGTTGTGAAGCTATGGGTGCTGGAGCAAGCCATGCACTATCTGGCAGAGGCCCTGTTCCTGGAGGGATTCTTTGTATGGCAGGTGCTGAAACCACAGCAACAGTGCGTCAGGTGGCCCAAAATCATGGGCTAGCTGTAACAGAGGTGACCACTCTGGCGGATGCCATGTCCAAGATTTCCAAAGGTCCCTGGACTGCCGTAGTAGCAGCCCTTGGCACACGAAGAGGCATTGATATACTTTTCGATCGAGGAAAGGAAAGTAGCCTAATTTTGGCTGCGAAGCAGCTTGATCCACCACCTCTAGTTGCTGTCTTCAGTTGGACGGCATGTGAGAAACAACGTGTTGCATCGTGTTGTAGAAGAGCAGGAGCAGATGCTGTGATTTGTTCTGCCGAGGGTCTTACTGATTTGCTAGTCGCCCCAGCCCCAAGAATTCTTTGCTTGGCTGGGGATGAGACCACCGCTGTGGTGAAAAGCGTGGCCAGCAAGTTCAACTATTCTGTGGTCAGGATCTCAACAAACCAAGAGGCGTTGGATCACGTTTACAACAAGGGCCCATGGGGTGGTGTTGTGGCGGCTCTTGGCACTTCTCCAGCAGACCTCATTTTTGATGGTGCTGCTGACAGAAGTACTTTGATTTCCACTGTCAAGCGGCTTCGACCACCTCCAACTATGGTGATTTTCAGCCACACAGCGTGCAAATATAGCGGTATGACACAGGCTTGTACAGATGCTGGCGCTGATGCGGTGTTATGCTCCGCAGATGCACTAGAGCGGCTCATTCTGTTTGCACAAGCCAGCAGGGCCTCCTTTCTGCATGACACTTCTGCGACTGATGGGCACCCTCCAGAGCCTGCAGCAGCTGAAATAGATGATGAAGCACCACCAGAGCACTTTCCCCTTTATAGGAGTGCGGCAGAGTATCCGGTGGTTGCCCTTCGAATCGAGCAAAATCGTGCTCTAGAGAAGTCACTGGGATCTTCGCATCCAGCCCTCACATGCTTGAATGGTTTCGTAGATGAAATGATGGACATGCTCAATTCATTGCCGCGCCCGCTCACAGTCTCGGCTTTGTCCTCACCAGCACCGATTAGGTTTGTCCACATCTCGGACACACATCACCACCACAAGAATGTCCACTTACCAGATGGCGAAGTCCTCTTGCACACGGGGGATTTGGTCGGTAATTATGGGGACAGGGATATTCTGAAACATTTGGCAGACTTTGTGGAATGGCTGGCAAAGATAAGCCCCAAGTTTAAGCTAATTGCTGTTATTGCTGGGAATCATGACACTTTGCTTGATGAGGAGAGGTACCCTCGAGAGGCTGCCAAAGCAAAACGCTTTTTCCTTTCAAAATTGCCGTCTAATGCTGTGTACCTGGAAAACGCCGGAGTTGAGTACCAGGGTCTCAAAATCTGGGGAAGTCCCACTTGTTGCTGTCGAGAAGAAACACTTGGCAAACGCTACTTGAGCAACGCATTTGAGCGGCGCAAACATGAAAGGCAACAGATTTGGTCAAAGATACCAGAAGGCCTTGATGTGCTAATGACGCATGTGCCGCCACACAGAGTCTTATGTGAATCAGACTGCGGTTGCGAGCTTCTTCTTGACCGACTCAACCACCTGAGTTCTCCTCCAAGATTCCACTGCTTCGGTCACGCCCATGACTACTTTGGGGTAAAAGCCACTGCAACGACCACGTTCTTGAACGGAGCATTGGAAGAGGTGAGACGAATGGATCGCGGCGCTGAAGGTTGTGGTTGGGTTTTCGACCTTCCACGGAAGGCACTCATGAGATCGGCCAGCATGGGTAGCAATGACATGCAAGTGGACATGCAATGACCTATGCGATGTGACACCCACGTTTCAGACCTTCATGATCCTTCATGTTTCATTTGTTTCCTCAATGCGGCCAAAAAGAGCTGTGATGTGCTGTGAGAGTGATTTCGGTTCGCTGAGGTCAATCAGCCAATACTTTATATAA